AGTAAGATAAACTACCCTCCCTAGGCTCTAGCTAGGGCCTACCTAGGCCTAGGCTAGTAGTACTACTTAGTACTAGACCCTAGCTTAGGCTTATAACTAGACCACTCGTAACTAGGTCTAGGTCTCCTATTTTTGTAAGCAGTGGTCTAAGGTAGGCGCCGGATTAGAACTTAGTAATAATAATAGGGCCTAGACTAAAGACTAAAGTTGGATTTTTTTCAAATTGTGAAGCAAGTAGGCCTAGGCCTAGGCCTATCTAGATTTTTTCTCCTGGACTGGGAAATTCCCAACTGTTGCTGGCTGGCTAGGCAGGCCTAGGCTTATAATTATAAGCTGAGGCTTTGGTCCATCTGTTCCCACACTGAAACATTTTTCACTTCTGGGGATAAATTTCCCACCCTTGGGGATAATTTCAGTCCCCTGGCCTGGGGAATTCCATAGCATATTTCTATAGCCTAGGCCTATATATAAATTATATACGCAGTGATTATTTTTACAATGAGTCGTGAAAATAGTTCCCAATGCTATTATTACGACGATCGCGTCCCTCGTCGCGGGGAAAATAAACAAGTCTTGAACTGAGCTAATTCTAGCCTAGGCCTATCTCTAGGACCAGAGAAAGGCCACACAAGCTTGGTAGATGCCAGCCTATGCAGCGGAAGCGCTAGGAGTGAACTACATGTACGCAGCTAGAATATTTTAGGCCTACACATTCATACCTTCATAACAGCTTCCTGGGGTGGGTGGCAGTATATATATAAAAAATGAATTTCAATTTTGTAAAACACAAAAATTAGTCCTAAACAGGAAAAATTATGTGAAAAATGTGAGCCTACGGCCTATTTATCCCCAAACGATATATAGGCCTATCGGCTAAGCCTTCAAAATTGTTTTCATGTTCAATTTTGTGATTCCCACTCAAAGGCCGGTATTCCTGATTTATTACCAATTATTTTTATTTGATAATATTTATTAATTGTTTAATAAGTTTATTAATAATTATTATTTTTCTCTTTTTACAGAAACAATGCAAATGCAAATCGATTGGTTTGAGACACGTATAATTGTCATTGTTGTGTTTCCCGATTATTTGACCATGTTTAAAATGCTTAATAAAATGAAGATTTATGAAATTAGCATGTCATTTGTTTTGCATATGATTGTTTGCTGCCTTTCCATATCATGTTTATAATATTAATAGTAGTATAAATAAAAATAAAATATACTGTGATTTGATGAAGTAGGGCGGCGTCAGGAATTCCCGACGAGAGGTCTAAGCTCCCCGATAAAATTTGTAGGAGAATTTTTTTTTTAAATTCAAAAATAACATTTTGTGTTAATTATGGGATTTTTTATCCTGTCAAAAGTACCAGCCCCCAGTCGGGGAAGAGCTGGCACCACCACTGCAACCCATACGATCGTAACAGTACGGTATACAATACCACGCACATCGTAGCACTGCACTACAGTTTTTAATCCCTACAATTTTACAGCTTAGTAAGGCATGCTTAAATTGTAATTTCGGCGCTCGAGATTTCAGTTTTTCCCCAAATGTTTTCATTTTTTCCCCAAATGTTTTTCCCCAAATGTCCCTAACGGGAGTCCTTTGCCCTGCTAGCGCCGCCCCTTTGATAAAGGGGATGGACTATTAAAGTTCCCCCAAGAGGTTCTTTTTAGGTAAAGCTCAAACAAGTTTTGTACTTCCTTTATCTTTTATTTCCATTTTGGGATACATAGGTAGGCTGATTACTTTTTAAAATACACCAATAAATATACACATGTTTATTAAAATCTAAATTCACTCTGATGAGGCCTATTACAGTACCTGTTCCTGTTGCTTGGACCATGTACTATAAAAATACTGTATCAGAAAGAATCGTTATGTTCCTACAAACAAATTTCCACGGTACACTTGAGGGTGAAGCAGATTGCATGCCAGCTTCAGGAAAGTGGGTGCACTTCCACAGGGTAGATGCTAAACATAGACGACTGGCTATTTTTAGGTGCAACGCATGTAATGGTAGTGAACATGTCGTATTGTGCGTTTACCTAATAATTATTAATTATTGTCAAAATATTGAATCCCAACACGATGGCATGTACTTCAATACCGTACTTGTGTATGTATTATACTTTCTTATTGCATATATTTTACAAAAATCAGATAGCCTATAAATGCATATTTGATTGAACAAATCAATTCAATATTGTAACAAACACATTGGCCTTTATTATGAAGCATTCATAAATTGAAAAGTTACTACTGTATAAAAAAAAAAATGTACTGTATACGTCTGATCGCACTTCACTTCTGGGACTGCAAGAAAAGAACATAGTTTTCAATACAGAACATACAATACTATTTATTTATTTCTTGTTTAACCTGGTTTAACAACATCCATTAAAACCAACTGTTATCCTTATGACCAGGATAGATACAGTACTGTTACGTACTAAAATAAAAAAATATGATCAGAACGTTAATGGTAATGGAAACGCAACAAACAAGAAAACAAACGTATGACAAATAATAACTATCACTGATCTAAAAAAAAAATCGACTTATATTTGCATTGTTTCAGTAAAAGAGAAAAATAACACCAATTAATAAACTGTAATATCAGTAATCAAATAAAAATAATTGGTAATAAATTTCCAGGAATACCCGCCATTAAGGGGATTCGCAATCACAAAATTAAACATCGAACAAACTTATAGGCTTTTTGGCCGTTAGGCCTATATATAGTTGGGGGAGGCCCTAGGCTAAACATTAATTAATTTTTCATGTTTAAAATTTGTGTTTTACAAAATTGAAAAATTCATGTTTTATTCTACCACCCTGGACCAGGGAGCATACAAGTATGAAGGCCTACAAGTAGTCCACGCTATTCCTAGCTGCGTACATGTAGTTCACTCCTAGCGCTTCCGCTGCATAGGCTGGCCAGTACCAAGCCTGTGTGGCCTTTCTCTTGTCCTAGAGATAGGCCTAGGCTAGAATTAGCGTCGCGGTTCGCTCAGTTCAAGACTTGTTTATTTTTTCCGCGACGAGGGACGCTATCGCGCATGCGCTAGCGATCGTCGTAAGAATAGCATTGGGAACTATTTTCACGACTCGTAAAAATAATCACTGCGAATTATATACTAGGTATTAAAACATATATGTAAATGTAATTCAACATATTTTGAAACATGGTAATTTAACTAATTATAGTAATGCAAAAATGCAATTTAAAATGCAAATTAGCTAATTGTACATAACTAATTTGCCAACACAGAAAGGATGAATTTTTATATTTTTGTACATTGTATTTTAAACGTAATTTTAAACAATACAGTACCAGCAACATTCAACGAATGGATTAAACATAAATTGAATAAAAAATATTCTCATTTAATATGCTTTGAAGCATTTTTTCTGAACAATTCTTATCATAAAATTTTAGAGGAATTTCTAATTCTCTCCAAACCATATTTTAAATGAGAAAGTCTTCTTTATAAATATTTTATTGATTTTCACTTGCTGGTACTGTTTACAATGTGGGCTTATAGTACAAAATTCAAGTTTTCTGTGTGTTGGTCTACTAGGCTTGTCATCAATTTTTGGATACTATCATGTCTAGGCTACTGTTTGTGAGGTATGTAATAAGTAGTAAGCACCAATTTATTTCCAATTGTGATACACCCCAGGGTCCAAAAATATGCTATAAATATTGAATTTACAACAGCCTGAAGTAGGCCTAATATTAATAATTTCTATTATATTTAAAACGCATATTGTACAGTGCCTACATCTGTTTGTTGAAACAAAATTATATATTTTTTAAAAGCTGTTAAATTTTACAAAATTAAGTATACTTCAAGGAGTAGTGGGAAATAGTGCTGTCTTAATGGGTTAACTATCCGCCTCTTCTCTGGCACAATTCCTAACTTGTAGAGGCTAATTAGCCTACCCAAAATTGTCTACCATGCTCAAAATTTTCAGTTTTATTGAACATAAGGCGAGACTTTTTTATACCTTGTTTAGAGAATCCGCCGACCACCAATAATGGTGATTTTGAATAAAAATACAATTTTATTTTTGGCCAGTTACGAAAAAATAAAAATTTCGTAAAAATGTTAAATTTTGTATTTATTTTTATTACGCCCTCCACTCTCCTGAAATCTCAAAAAAATAAGATATTTCTTCGTGAATTATGTTTAAAGCATTTATCAATCTCATTAATACACTGTTTAATTCCTTAATAAAGTTTTATTTTCTCTTCCGCCTAGATCATAGATGGTTTTGGCAACATCATTTAGCTAAATGAGAAAACAAATTTTTATTTTTTTTCTGCACTTCACTGACAATCTTTCACGAAACAAGGTAAAGCCTTGTAGATTCTTCAAGCCCCTTAATTTCAAACATTGAAATGTTCATAGAATCAAATGCTTTTTCATCTTCCAATGAAATGAAACACATTCATTGAATCAAATACTAAAATTTTCAATACAATTTTTTATTTGTATTTTAAACTTTTTCAAATATTTTTTGAAAATGAATCTTTTGATTTCATTACAGATAATTGAAAATGACAGCTGCTGATTGTGGGACCACAAGTAATGGTATATTCCTTAAGAAACGTCTTTCAAATAATAACCATCAAACTTCAATTGATTTACCCGATTTATTTACAAAGCATGCTGTTGACTTACTTTTAACCATCAGTACTCTACGCACTCATGAAGACCTTTGCGATGTCACGCTTATTGTTTGTGGCAAAAACATCCATGCTCATAGATTAATACTGGCAGCTTCTTCGCCATACTTCAATGCAATGTTCACCAGTAGGTTAAGAGAATGCAGGGAGAAGGTGATAGAGTTAAAAGATTTGGATTCGGATGCTGTCGATGCTATAGTTAATTTCATGTACACAACTAAAATTGAGCTAAATGAGTCTAATGTACAGAATATACTAATAGGTGCCAGCCTCTTTCAGATGGAGAACCTTCTGGAAATTGGCTGCGCCTTCATGATGGATCGACTTCATCCGTCCAACTGCCTTGGCATCAAAAGCTTCGCTCAGCGGCATGGTTGTAGCAATTTAGAAGCTGCTGCGAAGAAGTACACAAAGCAGCACTTCACAAAAGTTGCTGAAAATGAGGAGTTTCTGCATCTGAGTGTCAGTGAACTGATAGAGATCATTGAGGCAGATGACATCAATGTCCAGAAGGAATCCGAGGTCTATCAACCAGTAGTGGCATGGTTCCAAATGGACACCTCTCGTGTACAGTACGCTGCTAAGGTCTTTGAACACATCCGCTTTCCATTAATGTCTTGGAAGTTTCTGATGAATAATGTTGTCAAAGATAACATTGTCACCGTTGTTCCTGATTGCCAGAACTTTTACGATGAAGCTCGACGTTACCATGGTAGTCAGTTTTACCCTGGTCTACATTGGGAAGTGAGCATAAGAACAGTCCCAAGGACATCTTACAACAATTCACGGAACATCTATGTTATTGGTTAGTAAGATATTATTCACTTTTCATTGATAATCTATGAAATCAAGAAGTACTGTACAGTATGATAAATAATGTCCAGTACCTGTAACTGTAAATAATGATAGAAAATAATGAAAAAGGTTATTGTTTAATTAATAAAAACGCTACAAACAAATAATGAAATTAATAATAATATTGAAGTATTATATTATTAATAAGAATGGAATGCTAATATGTCACTTGTTGTAATGTGAATGCCTTGGTGCTGAACTGCTGTATAGTATACAGCATTTGCTTTTTGTTTTTATTAAATTATGTATGGTTTATTTAAAGCCAATTGGGGGGGTTTCAGCTGTGAGATAAATCTTGTTAAGTCATCATCATGGAACACGTTCGTAAAGGAATGACCTTTGGAAAAGACAATATCAAGCCAATTTTCATGAAACTTTAAAGCACTGTCATGTAATAAGCTGCTACAATCACTTCCTTTAATATTTCCTATGATTTTGTGTCAGTCAAACATTTGCTGCATCACCTTTGCAGATATCTTTTAATGATAATATTATGTACAGTAAACTTGATTTCAATGACAAACTTACCAATTAAAAACTCTCTATTTGAAGTTACTGTACAAATTTGACTTGCAGAAAATGAAGTAACAAAATAAAAACATTGCAGTCAGTGCAGGCAATTTCAGCTATTTTCTCATAAGATGTAATCTAGTTATATTGTTTTCTTACTAAAATGTTTATTGAAATGTCCCCTTGGATAATTGTCGCAAAGTTTATCCCCACTAAAGTTTAAAAAACAATCATAACTCTTTGAATTGCAAACTTGCTCAATTACGAACCCTATTTGAACAGTGGTAAATAATTGAGATTTTGCTGTAATAACAATAATTTTTTATACTTTTCAGGTGGTGAACTTAACCGAGATAGAAGCACAACTAACAATATGGAACTGTACACCCCTTCCCTTGATTGTTGGTGTACTTTGACGCCGATGAAAATATCTCGGCGGGGTTTCGGTGCCGTCACCGTAGATGACATCATATACTGTGTAGGTGGATCCAATTCCTCAGTCCTCAATGTGAATGAGTGCTTTGATCCACAGACTAAAACCTGGCGGACAGTGGCACCGATGCAAGCATGTCGTAGCAGCGTCGCTGTGACAGCATTAATGGGTCGTGTGTATGCCTGTGGCGGTTATGATGGATACTCAAGTTTAAGTACAGCTGAGAAATATGATCCAACATCCAATGAGTGGACCAATATAGCAGGTACTCTACCGTAATTATCATATTAATTAAGAACTAAACTACAGACCCATTTGTAATCATGATCTATTTGAACACGTACTTTAAACCAATTCTTTGAGTATAAACTTACCTCGTGTAACCTGATGTCTGAAGACTGGTGTTGAGTTGAACATTACTAGGATACACTCCCCTGCTCAGCATTTCTTAGCATGCGAAGATGGTGAAGTATTCAAATTGTATTTTTAGCCTTCCAGTTGGGACAGTAGCAAAGACATTTCATTCATTCAAATTCACTTAACAACATGTTAAGACCAGGCTTTTGAAAAAGAAGTATAGTACTCCATTAAAATTATAATGTAGTATCAATATAATATAGAGGTTCTTGAGGTTTTTTATTGGTTATTCTTGTAAATCTTGTCCTGGTTTTTATTTTATTTTATGAATTTTTTGAAATTTTAGTTATTTATTTTTTTATAATTTATTTTTTTTATTTTATTTATTAATTTTTTTTTTTTTTTTTGTACAATGTATGATTTCTTTTGATTATATCAATTTTAATTTTGTTGGTTTTAATGATGCAATCTCTATTGATTCATCAAAATATGCTGTACTTTATTCCAGAAATGAATGGACCTCGAAGTATGGCTTGTGCCGTTGGATTTGCTGGTTCAATTGGTTATTCTTGTAAATCTTGTCTTTTTTTATAATTTATTTTTTTAATTTTATTTATTTTTTTATTTTTTTTATTTTGTACAATGTATGATTTCTTTTGATTATATCAATTTTAATTTTGTTGGTTTTAATGATGCAATCTCTATTGATTCATCAAAATATGCTGTACTTTATTCCAGAAATGAATGGACCTCGAAGTATGGCTTGTGCCGTTGGATTTGCTGGTTCAATTTATGTGATTGGTGGTTATGATGGTGTCACAGATTTAAACACTGTTGAGCGATACACCCCAATGGTAAAATAATAGTTTTGTATGGAATCATAATGCCTCATGCGTTCATAATGTATTCACAATTTTATCGGGTCTATTTTGAAACAGCACCACCAACATCTTGCATTTTTTCACTGAGGCAACCTAGCCTGAGCAAATTTCGTTTTTCCAGACACATATCTTCTTTTGACAGGTTTTATGCACCCCTTTGTTTTTTTTGACATTTTGTTTTCAAGGACTAGCCTAGGAATAGACTAACTCATTATAACAAGAAGGTCATGTACCAGTCACAGCGCAAATAAACACTGGTAACTAAGTAAAGCGAAGTGCCTAGGCCTCTGAAAGTCCCCAGTGGTACAGGTAGTTGACAGGTTGTCTCAAATTTTTATTTATACGTTTTGCTTTTTTAATATTGTTATTAATTAATATTTTTGTTATTATTTATCAATTACTAAGTTACCATAAATTTACACCGAAGTGTTTGCTCAGGGGTTTGACAAAATTGTGACTTTTTATTTGCTCCTAAAATAAAATGTTTAGGGAACTCAATCTCCAAGAAATTCACAAATCCCGTAAATTTCCTCATTCCTTTGGTAATGCAACACCTTTTGAATACTATGCTAGCACCCCAAATTCATGTAATTACATTCCCCTTTGAGTACCCAGCCCTTGTGAGCATTCTAACCCTCTAAGTGCACTCCAACACCTTTTGAGCAGCTTATTTCTTGAAAGCTCCATAACCACCTGTGAGTACCCCAATCACTTGTGCACACCTCAACCCCTTGCAATAGATCAGTCGGCTAAACTGGTGGTAGCCTCTCTGTGTGCGCTGAACTGTGGAGATCTGCTGGTCCCCGGTTCAATTCCCATGGCTGCTCTCCTTGTATTTCAGCTGGAGGGCTGAATGCAAGTTACGATAGCACACCGTCTTTTGGATGAGACGTTTAAGCCATTGGTCCTATATGCAATATGGCGCATGTGCACGTTAAAAAACGCAGTACACTCGTTGGAAAATAGTAGGGGATTGTCTCCCGGTGTACTGCACAATCACCACCAGAAGGACCCTACTGGATATAGCTGTGAATTTTGTCTGTGTACTTTTGTTTAATACGTTGTGTCAGTATTAAGTATTAAATTATTTTCTTCCAGCAAAATACATGGACAGCATTAGCACCAATGTCACGTAGTCGCTCAATGCTTGCTGCTGTTGTCTACAACCATAAGATTTATGTAGCTGGTGGCTGTGATCATAGTCAGTGGTAAGTGGTGACATACTTCAACATTATTTTTCTTCACAGAACTCAATTAGAGAACCATCTCAGATTTAAACAGAATACGCAGTACTGTATATTGTTGAATAGTGCCACTGGATTGCCGATCTAGTCTCCAATCAGGGTATTTTAGGTGTGTTGGGACTTGACAACCTACAGTAAATAAGCGTATGAAAACATTTATTCATCTTTGTGTCACATAATCAGCAAGAGCATTACAACACGATGTAGCAATTATTTATAAGGTTCTTTCATTGACATAACCAACCAATCTAATTTCATTTCTTTTTTTTTTTTAAATGTTGTTGATCGGATAATGAGTTAAATATATTGTGAAATGGATAGGAATATTAACCAGAACCATTAAATTAATTATTTTTTCATTAATCTCGACTGATTGCTTTGTCTTATGCCTTTTAAGTGCAATAGATTAGCCTAGTTTTTTTAATGTTCCATAGTGCATCCACCTACATTTGTAATGTTAGTTTATTTCATCAGTTATATATTCATCAGATCTTAATTGTTAAGTGTTCTACATAACTACATGAAATGTATTACCTTCATCATTTTCTAAAATCTGATTATATTTTTACTCTTTGGCGTTGCTTTGGAGAGTATTAGATTTAATTTCATTTCATTTATGTCTTCCTAATGGTACAAAGCAAAAAAAATAAGCACAAGAAAGAGGATGCGGTAGATGAACAAGAGTGAGAGAGAGGATTCCAGAAAGTGAACTAAATCAATATCTAATATGTTCTCCAAAAACTCTGTGTCCAAAAATACAGTTCACAAAAAAAAAACAATAAAAAGTTAACATTAATATAAATTTACTTTAAAATAATAATACGTAAAACATTTATCATGTAAAATATGGAATTTAAATACACTATGAAAATTCATCTAAAAACAGTATAAAATAATATGTGGAAGTCTCACCTTACCCACCAGTGTTGGCAAAAGTGGGGAGGAGTAGATATTAAATTATGTTGCAGGAGATCTTACTTTAAAACTTTTTGTAGTTTTATTTTTTGTTTAGTGTTCAAATTCTGTATAAAAAATAAGGATAACAAAAATTGCAAGCCCAATTAAAGTTGCTTAGATAAATAGTTCTCTGTTTAAATGACATTAAACCCTTGTTTTATGTGGTATGAGCAAAGAGTGCATCTCACACTGTATTGTTGTACTTCTCTGGTAAATTTAACTTCAACATAATTACTAGTGATTTTTACCAGGGGTGGGGGCTAAAATCTCATCATCTGGATCGAAATTTGAAGAGACCGATGAGATGCACGTTGAGTCTCTTTTGAGGTACTAAGATTCCTCTGGCCTGACCAATAACACTCTGTTTCCTACTTGCCTGTAGAAATGGCACTCAGACTTTCTTGCAATTTATTTTTCTAAATGTTGGCCCTAATGAAATTTACATCAATTCTAAATATAGGTACGCTACATTTTCATTAAATTATGCTTAGCATTAATGCTACATGCTACGACGGTCTAAGTTATGCCAAAAGCATGCTACGAATGGCCACTATGGAAATAAAGGAGGCCAAGGGTGTACTATATAATATGCAGAATATATACGCCAACGTAACAATCTTCTTCTTTGCCCTGTTATAGTCTCGACAGCGTGGAAGTTTATAATCCTAGCACAAACCTCTGGCATGCTATGACTCCATTGGCAACTCCTCGAAGCGGGCTAGGACTCGCAGTGGTGAGGCAGCATATATACGCCATTGGGGGCTATGACGGATCAAACAACCTGAACAGTGTAGAGAAGTATGATGAAGAGAAAAACGAATGGACCAAAGTGAAAAGCATGGAGATAGCACGCAGACGATTTGCATGTTGTTCTTGAGAAATATTGCATAACTTTTAGTATTATGATTTTTTATCGTCTATGTAATCAGAATTAAAATTATGGTACTGAGATATAGCCCACAGTCAACCATTACTGTATAGTGTCTCCACACTATCAAGTGTTCAGTGACAAATATCCGATTTGCATATACCGTAAAACTTTGAAAGAAGACATATCTGATTATATTAGATATGTCAGTATCAATGTTATTTTATTGTACTAGCAGAATGTTTAAAATTTAAAAATATTGAACAGAATTTTGAAGTCGATAGTTGAAAAATGTTGTCTGGTAGCAATGCCAAAATTTACAGCAGCATTCATTTTGAAAAGAAGCCCCCTCTTTAGTTTTCAAAAAGTAATCGCAAAAATAGAAGCCCATCTTGAAAAGAAGCCTATCCAAGTGTGCTAAAAAGCCCAGGGCTTCTATTTAAGGTTTTACAGTAACATTATGTATTTGTACATCAAGCTTGATGCTGTTCACAGAGCTTTTTGTCATTTAGTGTTTGTCACAATTAGGAACATGGAGCTGAGATAATGGCTTTGTGACCTTTGATGAATGTGTAATTCGTCGCTCACATCACGAACTAACACAATCAAAGTAGATTGTGTTAGTTCGTGAAATCACAGTAGCGCGTCAAAACGAGCGCGTATTGGTTGTCAACCAATTTTGTATTCTTTACCACACAAAAAGTCCTTAACGACAATAGCGCGTATTTTGACGCGCTTTTTTAATTTCACGAACTAACACAATTGAATTTAATTGTGTTAGTTCGTGATGTGAGCGACGAATTGTTGATCATAAGTATTGATCAAAAATATCTTGCCCCTAAACTAAAGAGTATATTATTTTATATATTGTGCATCCAGAATATAGAACAGTGTGCACCAAGTGTAATTAAGTTAGCATAGGTCTATTATTTTTACCACAATACATACAGTAGTCTAACCCTGTTTTTTTCACAAGGTATATATGCCTATCCCTCTCTTCACAAGACAAAGGATTAATTTTCTTCCCATTAACTTAACCCTATCCTCTCACTGCGGGATATTTTTTATATATAAGGTGCTTTAATATTACAAAAGTTTAAGGCTGTACTGAAACCTAAGCATGCTTGTATTACATCATTTTTAGATACATGCACATTGGTGCAACAGAACCTATTCACGAATTATGCTTTATTTACAGTAGGTACTTTAATCATAACTTTGGATCTCGATTATAAGAGTCTTACCATAAATTTGGCTATTGTAAATCTTCAGCATTATAATATCCTCATTTTTTTACGATTTACATTTATACAAGAGATGAAACATACAGTATATTAAACTCAGATTAATGCCTTGATTTTGTAATAGCATTGAATCTAACCATATTAACCGTCAAATATCATTACTCTCATGAAAAATGTGATAATCAACTTCTACCTAATCAAATTACCATATATTCCAAGAATTGCATTTTAGTGTCAAGGAAGGTTTTATTTTATTTATTATAATTATTATATATGATTATTATTTATTGAATGATGTTGCAATATTATGATATTAATTGCATTTTTTTTATGTTAGATCGGAGCACAGTGTCTACTGAAACTACTGAAATTTATTTTGAAAAGCTGTTGAAAATTCAAAATTTCCAGGCCCGTGACCATTCAGCTGAACCCCATTTTCAAAGTTACCTCCTCTGGTATATCAAACAACCCCTTCAAACTATCAAAGTGATAATGAGATTTTACTAATTCCACCACCCTGACCCTTGGTGTCTTGACAAGGTGATATTATGTCTGTCTCTTACTAAAAACGGGTCACCAAGAGTTTAAAAACATAAGGATAAAACTTAAAAATTCTTATTGGTTTTCAACAAAAATGAATCCAGAAAACGTTTTGTTGTATATATTAGAAAATATTTACGGACTGCATATATATTGAATTCATTTATTTTCGTTCTCATTGTAAAGAACTGTTATATTCACAAAACGAATATTTTGTCTTGTATTCTGAATGTTACATCGTCGATATTTGTCGTCCTGATAAAAGTACTTTCTACAAGAGAAACATTGTTGTTTGTTACCAAATGATCATCATGTATGTTATTATGATTCCTTCTGTTTATCGTTAGAATAGCTATAACTGTATGAATAATGAAGGTATATTAAATTGTGCTAATATAATTAAAATCAAAAATGTATTCTACATTTTCGTAATCAGGGCTGCAATTAAAATGGTGACATTTTTAAAAATAAATGATGATTATTTTCATTTGAATCTCTGGCATGGTTTGAACCACTGGGTGGGCCCGGCGGCGACGAAATTTTTTTCCCTCGTCATTTAAGGCAGAAGTCAATAGAGGGCGCGCTATACTCATGAATATTCAACTAGAAAGTTGCAGTCCTTTCCTAATAACTTATTCCATTCCTGAGATCTATTTTCGCCATAGAGAATATCTATAGCGTACGCGAGCACATTGCAAGAGGAGCGAGAAATCGAAGCCTGTGGGGCAGTGGCCGCCAGGATCACCAGTTGGTGCCCTGTGGGGCGAAGACCCTCGCAAAATTTGAGTGAAAAGTTTTTTTTTTCCTTTTTATTTTAGGAAGATTTTGGGTCAATCCGAACTGTACCAACATCATACCGTAAAACCTCGAATAGAAGCCCAATGGTCGAGAAGTCCCTCTCAAAAAGAAGCCATTGAGCTTCAATTCAAGATAGTATGGGCTTCATTTCGACTGACGTTAACTTTTATGATAGCGTTAAGCCGGGCACTCACTCACTGCGTCGTACGACCGTCGCACGACGAATCTAACTCCGCTCTCTGTGAGCAATAGACGACGCAACGTCGGTGGCAGTCTGAACGGATCTGTTAAAAACGATCCGTTGCGCGCGCGTCGTCGCGTTGCGTTCCTTATAGAATCGCCTCCTCACCAACGACCGTCGTGCGCAGTGTGAGTGCCCGGCTTTACGGTATTACGTTAATCACGATATTTTGTATATTTTTTTACAGTACAATCAAACGTAGAATTTGAAATTGCTAAAAACTTTAGGCATGACGAGTTGCTTCACTTCTCCGAGATTCTTTTTGGTCCCGTGAGATCAATTCTAAAATAATTTGGCCCTCCAACCAAAGAATCACGGCTATTAAAATTGGTTTGGCGCAGGTGAAGAATAAATGCGTGAATGCAAGTCTAGCGCCTTCACAGTGCTTAACCCTTCTATCCGTTAAGGGTCGAGCTCATATTAACCATTGCTCTACTGATAATCTTTGACAGTTTAATTAATCAATGGATGAATCATTGATCAATGTTTGGTTTATAGAGCAGCACGTGATCCTAAGTAATTTACTCAAATAGGATTTAAAAAACAGTGTTTAGTAGAGCTTAAGGTACTCCGCTTAAATTATACTTGCCGAAAAGCTTTTTATTGCGTTATATTAATAGAGCACTCGCATAGCAAAAATGAGGCGGAAATTGAACCAGACGTACACGGCGCCCTTCTCTTTTTATAATGCAAGTTTTCTATACTTGGTCCAGAGGTACAGGGCGCCCTTCTCTTGCTAGAACCAGAACTAGAGATTCCATATAGGAACTCTAGCTAGAACCTGACGCACGCATTAATGGAGGAAAACTTTATCACTAATCAGAGTCCGGTCATACGAATCTGCGCCTTCGTGTCTGCCATTTTATTGTTTTGATTTATTTATACCTACTTGTTTGTATCTTATGAATAATGGCAACGATTTCAACCTCCGCAAAATTCACAGATATGTAACGGTGGCAGAAGTTTTTTAGATCCAGCCGTACGCGGCGCCCTGTTGTTTGTATTCCCACAATGCATTTCGGTGGAACAGATTTTTTTCTGTGTAGAACTCTTGTGTTTCTAGTATCTTTGATGGTACCATGGAGGTATTATTGAGATAATACCTCCATGGGTATACTATTCTGTCTTTATCCTGTGCTCTGGTATCAAAGCCTGAATAAAATGCAAAACCAAAGTAAGACCCCTGTCCAGACTATCAAATTATATTTGATAAAAACATGTGACATGCCTAAATATGATCATGATGACATCACATCATGACCATATATAGGCACATACATGACTATATATGGGCATAAAATCATTTTTTTGTCTAAGACAATAATGATAATCTGGACAGAGCCTAATACATTATAACCGAGAAAGTATATTTTTACTAATTTCGAAGATGATGAATGAATTCAAACTATACTTTTGATATAGGCCTATAACTCATTAGTGGACCTATCTCGAGGTTTGGAGGAGTAGCTAGGTAGGTCGTTGCGTGTCGACACGTCACACGGAATGTTCATGCGTTAGGGTGGGTGTGAACGCTAGAATTATTTTTACGCACGCGCGTAATGAAAATTGTTCGTTCGAAACTTAAAATGCAATTTACCAAATTTACACACGAGGACAAAAATTAAGAAAACAAACTGAACGTGGGACATTTATCATGTGCTTCAATCAAAGACACTAGGCCTAGAATCTTTGCTTCAATATAATAAAAATAGACTTAGGCTACTTGAACAGCGCTGTCTTTTAACATCATCAATCTCATAAATATGGTTGTAGGAATATTTGGGAGCTGGGATGTAAGTATTTTTGCGAAACCGGAGGAAACATTCCAGTTGAAGTTAGAGAAGAATGCTGTTTATCCGTTTGATGAAATCGATGAAGATCGTGAGTTAATTTTTAGGCTAGCCTACATTTATGAAAAGATAGAAGACACATACTGTAAAACCTTCACTCTCCTTTAATAAAAACGCTTTCATTTCCCATATAATATTCATAATGTTATACCTGTCCTTTTCTAAATTTGTTTTTCTTTTTTCTATGCCTAGCCTAGGTAGGCTATATTTACCTTCGTAAAATCGTAATTACAATTTTCATTTAGGAATCAATTTTCTTTGCCTTCTTTTCATTAATCAAAACTTTTGCTATTTTGATATGCGGTATATGAGATTAAATTTATTTGAGTACAAATAAAATCTAGGCCTAGGCTAGGCAATATTATTATTTTCTGAACGTTTTAATTTATATCAATTATCATATCACAGGATACGAGGTTGCATTCCGTTCGCCTTGGCTCGGAATCTCTGCAGGTATTCTGACTGGACTCACACTCAGCATGGTTATATTCTACGCTTCGACAAAACCTGATGTAAATCACTTTTCCTTTCGCCATTATAGCCTAAGTCAATGAACAAGCCTGGCATATATAATCATGTTATAAATAATGCTAACTCTCTAGCATTCGCACTAGGCCTGGATACTTAAGTTACACAAGTGTAATCGATAGATTTCAGAACAGATTTTTGAGTAGGCTTGTAGGCTACCGTTCCGATCAGTAACCTATAATATAAAATGTACGTTTATTATTATAAATTGTTTCAGTGCAACTAACTATATTTTTCTTCTGTTTTTTTTTTCTCTCATTCTATACTTCAGCAATATATATCGTTTTTCTTCATCGCAATCGCCGTCATGCTTTACACCGCGTATATGTACAAGGATATGCGCAGACTCACATTAGATATTGCAAATTCTCGATATGAATTTCGAATCAAAGATCGTCTGATATATCGAGGTCATGTTCATAATATCTATATTCGCCTTGTCGGCCAAAACAGTGGTAAGTAGGCCTAGGTCTATATAGGCCTATAATGCAGTAGAAACTTTTCGGAGGCTTACATTAAAACCAGCCTGTTAAAACCGTCATTTTACTAATTCCCTTGTGCACTACACCTTCACCACGTACATACAGAATATGAATACTAAAATCGATGATGAAATTTTTCATAGGAACAAATGGTTACAAAATGTAGGTCAGGCCTTCTTTTATTTGCTTTTAGATTTTGAGAATATTTCTCTGTATTTCGGTTTTTTTTTTCCTTTTTGTAGGCCTTATATTCAGTCTTCAAGAATCCACTGTAAAACGTTTACTTTTTTGGCCCCGTGTATGCTGCTAAATTTAACCCTGTTTTTTAAATAACCGTTTAAATATCCGCGGTTAATATGTCCAGTAAAAACGAACAACCTAACCTAATTATATATAATCATCACACAATGTCGTCTGTCTGCCACTCCATGAATAGGCCTATTATACCTCAGCCGCCGTGCCAGTTTATTTATCTAGTATATTCATTTATGAATAATATTTTACCAGAATTCGCGATCATTTGAATTGGGGAAATCACCATTAGCCTATAAATATCTGGCTGTATGATCATTGATGATGTGTCAGTCTGTCTCTTTTTTCGTCGTCAGAATATTTCTTGTTAATGAATGAATTAATTCTAACGTTTCATACCTATCATTTATTAGGTGCCGGTGACGTATATTACAAAGTTGTACTGAATGGCTACCACTCAGAAGAGCTACCATTAACATCGTCAACAGTACGCAAGGAGGTGAGGTCGCTTGACTAACAGTGTAGATCACTATAGCCTAGGCATTGGAGTATTTAAAGGGCATGGTAGATGCATGCCCCAGAATAAGTTCCATTGCCCCCAACCCCCGCCTTTCTTCCTTAATTATATAAATTTAAAGCATTTATCAGTTGCATTATTACACTGTTTACGTTCACCATTAAAATTTTATTTTCTCATTCGCCTAGATGCGTTCGGAAAAATATTTAAGCTAAATAAGAAAAAAAAATTTTTTTCGCCCTTTTCTGACAATCTTTGAAAGTTGTTCGCTAAACAATATTAAAATTATTGTTCTTCTTAATTTCAATTCTTTGTACAGTCTGTATAAATACGAATGACAATGACAATAAAAATGATGTTTAATAATCTTAAATGATTTGCTGTTTCTATTGCATACTATATAATTATTATAACTTTATTTTGGAAACGACGCTTTTAAAACAGCGGACACGCTCTTGCAGTGTGTTTATAAAAGTAACATACTGTACAGCCATAATACAATATTAAAATAGAGGCGAGACTTTTAATACAATAAAATGTACGTTACATAATCACAAGTTGAATATATCACAGATCCTGTATATCATTTAACACTTACAATTTATAACATTTACAGCAAAGCACAGTTTATATATTGCGGCCAACTGACCTACTATTTTAATATTTATAAATAATAATAATTAAATTAATAACATAAGATTTGTATAGGGCTAGCTCATATTCAAATTTAAAGAGCAACAATCTATGTACGCTAGACGGATTTAAGTTACATTTTTATACGTATTTAATTAATTTTTGCTGGTCGTCACATATCATTTATTTGCAAAAATAATAGGAGCTACTTAAGGATTGCCTAATTAAAGAATGCTTGCCATCGAGGGGCTCTCTTGGTCTATCGGCGAGGATTAAAGAACTGCTTAAATATAGTAAATTATTACAGTATTATTTTATAATATGAAATAAAAGATTAAATGAAATTAAACTATACAGGAGGCCGCTAACTGTATTATACAATATTATACACAGCTCTATGCGTTAGACACAGAACGCGCATCGCGTATGACACAAAATGGCTTCTAAATTCTCAATGTCGCAACTCTTTCTATCTATGGCTCTGCCCCAGAATAAGTTCCATTGCCCCCAACCCCCGCCCTTCCTGAAAAAATTCAGTCACATGCTGTAAATTTTTTACTTCACCCTTCAAGCTTCCCTAATTTCCCACCTCTCCACACCCCCCAGCAGCCCTTCGCCCACGCGTACGTCATTTAATACACCGATTTTTTTTGTATTATTATTATTTTTATTCACACATAAAACAGCGAGTTGTTCTCCACATTTTGTTACATACAATGTTTAGGGACCCCTTGGATCGAAAACACGAGCTTTCAACAATTCAGTCCGTTGGTCTATCCAAGGAGGAATGAAGAGACATAGATGAATATTCATTTTTATAGATGCATGTAATACTATTAATTATTTGTTTTCTGTGTTTTCAACCTTTACAGAAACTGGAGAAGCTGGGTAAGAAGCTAGCAGCGAGACTGAATTTGAATTACTTTGATTGGTTAGATAGGTCAACGAAACACGTCATCAGACATCGGTGTCCCTACGAGTCTCCCACTTCTCCCATTCAATGCTCAGGTTACGAACTTAATTAGGAAACCTTCAAAAAATAAAATTTAAATTTACTTAGAAGACTTTTTTTTATGAATTTAGAAGCAAAATAATTATAATTAAGAAAGCCACAAGAACTTGTGCGTGTATTTTTGTGTAAACGTATGTGTCTAGTATCATCAATTATTGATATTGTTATTATTATTATTATCATCATCGTCATCATCATCTTTACTTCATCATCAAAGCAGAGATAGGGCTGGGAACCAAGGTTATAGAGATCTCCGCAACACATTTGTGACCACCAGCAGTTTAGTCGATTGATGCTCTAATAGACATGAAATATTACATAGGCCTTCCATTATGAATGTGATAGCAGATTTGCAGATCATGGACGGTTGCATATTTTAGTCGGGCACTCACTACGTCATACGACGTACGGCCGTCTGCCGACTAATCCAACTCCGCTCCCTGTGAGCGATAGACGAAATGACGTCTTCTGTTGATTGTTTGTGGCAGAGTCTGAACGAATCGTCATTAAAAATTATCTGTTGCGCGCGCGTCGTGGCGTTGCGTTCTCCACATATTCGTGCCG